TTCATTAATTGGATTTAATTGCTCTTTTTAAGCTTTTTGATATCACGTCGAACCATTTATCTAAAAACTTAAGTTGTTAGATAAGCCAAAAAAGCTGGGGAATCCGGTAGGGCTTTGATCGCAACTAGATAAGAGTTACGTTAGTCCAGCTCAGCTGCTTACCAAATGTATATAATTTATTTATTATCTTCAACGGACACAAATAAGGCAACTTAAGATCTCGTCCTATCAAGACTTGTAGCAACATTTTGCTGCCTATGGTATTTCAAATTCTTACTATAAGAAAATATGTCTAATCTAGACATCAAAAAGCCATAATTATACTGGATGATACATCTCCAATGCAATCCAAACATAAATACATCCCCATCAAACATATCAATATTTAAAGAACGATTCTGTACGAGATTGCATGTAGATATAAACAGGTTGGCTGATAATTATACTACAAGAAAATCTCCTAAAGATACCAAAACAGAGGTATTCGTTCCAACAACAAGATCAGTATTTACATACCCCTTGTTTGGCTTCCATTTTCTAAAACACATTTTCAACCATATATTTCATAGAACTCACAACTTTTATCCGCTTTTCAACCACACATTTCATCAACTTTTATCAAAATTCACTAAAAATATAATTTTATCTACACCAAATAGGGGCATAATGCTTCCACCAATACCATGTGTCTTAACACTACCACTCTTTTTTTTTATGTCTTAATATAATCATTGAAAGGCACTCTGCATAAAAATTGGTTCCTATCAATTTTCGAAAGCAGAACTATACATACAGAAAAAAAAAAAAATTATAAGAAACGTAAAGGAGATTGGAGGTCTTATCACAAGAGAAAAATGTACCTGAAAAAATTTATCCCACAGCCTCTCAAAAGGTAAAGCACCTGGTGTCAGAAACATGAATGCAATTTTGGGAGTCTTTGGTATAACAGGCGGTGTATCCAGTATATCTCTAATTACGACACGAGAAGCAATCTCATCATCGGTGAGTTCTCTTGAGGAAGTGGGTGGAAGCCAATTTTGCAATGCCTTGCAACCATGAGATGAGAACAAATAGCAGGCAGCGGAATTCTGAGGTGGATACACATAAGCACAAACTAAGAACAGACTAACTAAAGAAACCAAAACAATAATCCATGTTGGCTTTTTTAAAGGACTGCGGTGGCGATGTGGAGGCAATATTTGCATGTCTTTCATGCCTAGACGCCATGCCTGACCTGTCTTCATCTAGAAATAATGCATCACAGGTTAATCTCCCACAAAAAAAATGAGATATTTATCAGGTGATTGTCTCAAGTTGAAAATGCGATTCTGTATCCCTGACCTATCAGCCTAAGTCAGACCTCGAGCAGTAAATTGAGTAAGAATTCAGTAAGAATCTGAACCTGCAAAGCAGACAGAGCACGGGAATATAATTTCATCAATATTAATTAATATCTTAAAACACATATGTGGCTTAGTTAGCAAAACAATCAATTCACAACAAATTTCCAATCCAACTAACCACCAAACAATATCTAGGATAATTTAAAAAACACTCTAGATTGAATATGGACTATAGAAGAAGCAAAGGAAAGAGGAAATCGGACAGTATCTCAATGTAAATGCCCTGACTTTATATCCCCAACGTTAAGAAGCTAAAGTAAAAAAGTTGAAATGGGACCACAAATTACTTTCAAGATTTAAGTTTTAAAAGCTGCCTCAATCCCCAGAAACTCACGGCAAACAAAAAGTCAACCCGAACCCACAGTCTAAATCAAATCCACAATTAGTAAACCGCAATTGCAATCCGCACAACACGCACATCATAAAAAACCCATGTTAAATTCAAATTCTTTTGACGTACATGCAAATAAATGCAGCCTCGTAACATCATTCAATGTACCAATCAGGGTCAATATAAAAACAACAAGCAATACCTAAAAGATTAATCACTGGGTTAGCTGGAAAAGTGATCGAGAAGCTGAATCTTAAATCAAATGGATCTGTATATACAATTATAGCATGTGTATGTAAGATCCAGCAATAATAGAGCGAGGCTGTATACACTTGGCAATTCTGTATGCAATTGAATCTAATCGCTATAAATAGACAGATAGGATATATTATGCGTGTAAGTATTTGTATGTATAGAATTGAACGTTGTTTGTGTCGGTCCAAGAAGCCGGCGAAGTTTACAATTTCAAAGATATCTTTGTACATTTGGTGAGGGGCTGACCCCAATCGCCGGTAAAAGCGCGTGGAAAGACAAGTTGTGAGGTGGGCTGGGATAGTCGGTTTCAGCCAGTTTTTCACTCGCGGATTTTAGACAAATACCTTTCAAATTGGAAGCTTCCTTAGCTCATGTTTGACACATTCGTTTGAAATACGTACTTTGAAAATTCATTTTTAAGCTCTTATTTTTCAATAAAATAATATTTTATATCACATTACTAATTTTTTCTTATTTTTCAACTATATATATCCCATCACATCACAATTTAAAATACATTAAGCCTTCATTGTAACGAATTCCATGAAAAATATCATATCCGACAAAAACGAATTCCACTTTGATAGTTTGATTGTAACGTGGAAATAAAATCGAATTTCAAGGTACAATCACTTTAAACTATATTTCCCTTGTTTTCATGGAAAACGAATTCCTATAAATTTGGTGAATTTTTATTTTCCAACTAACATGAAATTTGAATTCATTTCTATATTTGTCTATCAAACAGTCTTTATTTTCTCAATAATATCCATAAAAAACACCCTTAATAAGTGGCGATTACGCAACACGTCATTTTATTAAAATATTCATATACTACAAGACATCATTTTTTTAATCCAAAAATAATATAATATAGTAGTAATAGAAATGATCTCCTGCCCGGATAGAATGATAATGTCCAAAAAATAATGAGCGTATTTTTCAATTTTCTAACTGAATGAGCGTACTTGGCCTAATTAACCATTTATGGTTCTACTAAATGCATTGTCACTTTGAAATAAGGGTGTCAAAATGGGTAGGTTTGAGTATGTTAAAGAGTAAATTACACAAAATCAGATTTTTAAAGTTCCAATTTCAAATTTAAGATATAAACTTTATTTATACAAAAATTAGATATTAATTCGAACATTTAATATTATTAATAATCTATCATACACTTTCAATTTCAAACCCTAATTATATTTTGTCTCTATAAACCTCTTCCTCTTCTCTATTCTCTCACCTCTCTCTCCCACGATTGCAGGTACAACCATGTCGAAGATACATATGGAAAAATACAGGTTGTTGTCAATATTGAAACGATCGGCCATCGCCGCGACACTGTTAGCAGCAGGCGGCGACCGCTCGAGACGTATTTCGGGGAGGTGTTCTCGTATGCGTTGGCCTTTTTTGGTGGTGATTTCCGTGTGTGAGGAAATAGTGGGCACCATCAGAATGTTCTTGGAGGATCTAACGCTGTTGACGACATTTTTGTGGTGGTATTATGGAGATTTTGTGATTGTTTTTGATGTGGTGGTGTTGGTGGATGTGATGCTAGAGGTGGTGTAGGTTGTTGGCGATTTTGGATCTGATTTGTTGGCAGTGTCAGGGTGGCTGTTGTGGTGGTTTTCTTAGATCTAGTAGAGGCTGTGGTTTTTGTTTTGTCGACGTTGGTGGTGGATTTGGCAGTTGCGGTAATTTTTGTTGGATTTAGTGGTGGTGGATCTTGCGTTAACAGTGATAGTTTTGTATTTGAAAATAGTGGTTGAGAGGTGGTTCGACGGCTATGGTGATGTTGGAGGGAGTTGTGAGGTGGTGGTCACAAGTTTGTGGTCGGTGGTGGTCCCAGATTTTTTGGTCGTTTGTGACCATTAAATTGATTAGTTTGTGAACAATAAACAATAAGTGACCAATGAAAAAGATAAATTGTGACAAAAAAATAATGTGTGACCTAAAAAATTGTTAATTAATTTGACAATTTGTGACTATCTATTAAATTGTGACTTATAATATTTGCGATTTGTGATCGATGAACAAATTGTAACTTATAAATTTTCTTATTTGTGACTGATGAACAAATTGTGATTTATAAAATTTTTGAATTGTAACCGTAAAATAATGTGACCTATAAAATTTCTCATTCGTGATCGATGAACAAATTGTGACATAAAATTTTTAAACTATGACCGTAAAATAATTTGTGATGTTTTAATTTTTTATTTGTGACCGATGAACAAATTGTGACTTATAAAATTTTTGAATTGTGACCGTAAAATAATTTGTGATATGTGACAAATTAATAATATGTGACAAATTATATAGAATTTGTGACCAAATTATATGAAATTATGACCTTAATATATTTAATTAATTAATTTATAAATACAATTTAAAAAAATCTGAGATTTGAAATTTTAAACTTTAAAAAATTTGAAATTTGAAACCTTAAAAAATTTGAAATTTGAAATTTTAAACCTTATCTCTTAAATTTGAAATGGGTAAAATTTAATCTCTTAATTATGAAATTTTCCCTATGTTAAAATATGATTCACACACAGACCAACTAATGTATTGGACCATGTCGAACAAAAAAAAAACAAAAAAAACTGATTTATAAAACATAAAGTTACACTATTCGAATTTGGAAAGAAAAGAGCCATTGAATTGAGAACGAAAAGAGAGCTCTAACTCTTTTAATTTACTATTAGCTTGTATTTGCTTAATAATAGAACCAAAAGGGTCGACCATAATGAATTGTCAAGATAAGTCTGGCACAACCCATTCGTTATGATGGGTCGAGTCGTGAGCCGTACTCGATTGATTTCGATCTGATTTTTCGAAAGGTTTAGATCATCTCTGGCCTATATGACTCGACCCATATTGATTCCACTATTTTGAATATTATTTATGAGACTTACATTCTTCATGTTCAATTGTGAGATGATATTTTTTAGCACATATATAGTGAAGTATATGAACCGTGTAGTGCGTCCAAATTACACATTAGATTACTTTGGTGCTCTGCGAGATAGTAGAGATGAGATATATTGAGTTTATGGTGTCGAATACTTAAAATTGGAATTGAATGAATCAATATGAGATGAATACATCAAAAGAGACGAGACATTTGGTTTTTCAAAAGAAAAATCCATTGTAGCATGCTTTTCACACTTCTCGCATTTAATAATCAAGATAAGAAATAAATAAAATAAATGTGTTAACTTAACCCGTACTTTACGAGACGAAACTTCAAAAATTTTGACGATTCAAAAATATAGTGAATTATCAAGATTGCAAAAATGAGACAACATATTTGACCTTGTCTATTTGTTAAGCACAAACAACTAACCGTTGACCAAGTAAATAATTTCGGATTAAATAAGCATAACGTGCCATGCAAGTTATATGGACGCAACGTGATTTTGTTCTCTACCCTCGTGATGTGCATAATCTGCATCCAAATTATAATTAAAAAAAATAGCCTTTGATTAATTTGTTCATTAAAAACTATTTACTAATGAAATTAATGCATGCATCACACTGCATACTTTTCAACATAGAATTGTCTTACAAATGCAACATTTGAACATAGGAAAAAGTTTGTGAATGTTGAGAACATGATTAATATATTATATTGACTTGACTTGAATGATTGGAAATGAAATGATCGAACAAATTCAACGGTTATTGTGTCTAATTCAATGCATTGAACGTACAATAAAGAATTCGTAGTAATAGTTTAGAAGGTGGCATGATAGTAGTTGTAGAGGTGCAATTAAGCAGCCCCAAGCTCCCGTAACGTAATGTATCAAGTTAAACTTTTGCGATCCATAGCTTGCTCAAATTTCCCCATCAGAGACTTCATTTATCTTTTCTTTTCTTCAAAAATTCACTCATAAGCCACTAATTATTTTTATAAAATAGTTAAATTTGGGGGTTGTGATGGCAAGGGGCGAACCCAGCTTAAGACCAATGCAAGCATCTGCCTGCACTGGGTTTGGGCCGCCCAAAATTTTCAAAAACCCAATCCTTTAAAAAAAAAAAAAGGTAGCCCAATTAATGGGTCCAAAATGTATGATAAAAGGCCCTCAATTGAAACTCAGGCCATAATCAGTGAATTATCCACGCCCGCATCAACAGAGAAGAGTCTGAGATCGTGACTCCGTGAGACGCCGCTGCCGCACTCCCCTGCAGCCAAGCCGCACGCCCCTGCAGGTGAGTTTTCTGTAATTTCTACTGGTATTCATCTGCTACA